TTAAAAATATGCCTTTATTTATCCTTTCCCTTCATAATAGCTCCATTCCAGATGATTTGAGACATCAATCTCATCACTCCAGGCATTGCCCTACTTCAGAGTCACCCAGCATTGCATGTTCCCTACCCAGTCTGCCCCCAAAAGTAGGTGGCCCAGAATGAGGAGGAAGCAATAGAGAAAGCAAAGGGGGCCTTTCTTTTCAAAACAGAGCCAGGCAGACCAGAGAATCACCATCTGGAAGCTTCCATAATGGATCACCAGGGAGTTAATGAAGTTCTTAGGACCTCTGAGAGCTCTAATCTGTCATCTGTCCTTCTGCCTCCCTCTCCCCACCTATCATCCCCTCCCTCTTTTCAAAGATTTACTTATTTGAAAGGCATAGTGAAAGAGAAGGAGAGAAACAGAGAGAGGTAGGTAGGTCATCCATCCACTGGTTCAGTCCACAAATGTCCACAACAGCCAAGTCTGGGCCAGGCCAAAGACAGAAGCCAGGAACTTGATCTGGGTCTCGCACATAGAGGGCAGGATCCCAAGTACTTGGGCCATCTTCCACTGCCATTAGCAGGAAGACTCTTTAGCAAGAAGCTGAATCAGGAACAAAGCAGCTGGGTCTCAAACCAGCACACCAGTATGGGATGCCAGCATCTCAAGTGGTGGCTTAACCCACTGCACTGCATGCTGGCCTCCCATTCCCCTCCTAGAAACTTGAAGAGAACAAACCCATAGTGAAAGAGGAGGCCCAAGCGAAAACACAGGACAGTGTGGAGAAACAGGCTGTGCACTCCCCCAACATGGCCCTGGCTATCTATGGAGGATGATCTTGAGGACTGTAACACATCTGTTTGAGATCCCTAATGATGTGTGAGGCCCAAAGGCCTCAGAGAATTTCCAAGATTCATTGGTGCACCGTTGTGGCCTGGGGTGGGGGTGTTGTTTGAGAATGGCAGTGTTCCTGAAATTTAGGGCATGTGAGGAACCTGTGAGGGAGATTTCATTTCAGGGAGGTTGGCTGTGCACCAGCCACCCCCTCCCACTCACCATCTGCCCAGGCTCCAGAGGCAGCTCCGGGAGCACACTGGCTCCTCCCACCTGTCCTGTGGAAGGTGGGTCTGCAGTCCAGGGACAAGCAAGAGGAGTCTGCTTTCCACCATGGGTCCCCCACCCACACACATGGAGAAAGCACAGAACAAGCATGGTGGTCATGAGAGCAGGTCAGGAACACGAGGCCTGGACTTTGGATTCGGGAGTTGTTATCTTGTGAAATTGTGTGCAGAATGCTCAATTATATGCATTTTTTCTAGTGAGAGATCATAGTTCTCTTCAGCCTCTCCAGACCTCCCTCTTGTCACCCAAAGATAAGGAAGCCCCAGTTGGGAGGAAATGGAGGGGATTGTTTCTGACTGTTACAGTCAGGATTTAACCCAAGAGAGGAAAAGCTACAGGAAGACTCAGAAGCTTCGCATGGCCTTGGGTTCCATAGCAGCTCTGCCCAGGCAGATGCCTGGCACTCAGGGTTCAGGGCTGCTTGTGGTCCTGTTGCTTGTGCTGTAGCATAGAGTCCAACACAGAACACACACCTCCCACGTGGTCGGCACTCAGGACACGCTGACTGGACATATGCGGACTGTGATATCCCTGCTGTCACATAGAACCGAAGGCTCATCTCCCAGTTGTCAGAGCACTGTGAGATACACATTCCCTGCTGTTGCACGGCCATTGTGGCCTCTGGCCTCAGACTCATCATGGCTCCCTCTGGTCTCCTGTCGTCATTCCTTCCACACCTTGTATTGTAAGTTTTGTTTGTCTTCTCCTGGGGATGAAGCCTTCTAAGGAACTGCCCTCTGCTGGTCTGACTAAAGGAAGGTTCCCCGCTCCCTGAATGAGGACAGAGTCTGACAAAGACCTTCTGCCCTTCTCCTGACAGCTGCTGTTTGGCTGGATATTTTAGTAGCTCAGCCACTGGGAAAATCCTCCGCCCCGTAACCAGGAAGACTTTACAGCTGTAGGCTCTATTTTTAACAATTGCCAGTTTCCCAGGAAACCCCTGTTCCCATCTCAGGATCACGTGGACTCGGCTTCCTGCTTGTGCCTTCACTCCTTCTGCCTTCTGTGACTCCCCCGTCCTTCCAGGTCTGGCCCTTGTTGATTTCCACCTCACACAGTCCCTATTTCCTTTGGGCTTTTTTTAAAAGATTTATTTATTTATATGAAAGTCAGAGTTACACAGAGAAGGAGTGGCAGAGAGAGAGAGAGGTCTTCCATCCACTGGTTCACTACCCAGTTTACTGCAACAGCCTGAGCTGGGCCAGGCCAAAGCCAGAGGCCAGGAGCTTCTTCCAGGTCTCCCACGTGGGTGCAGGGGCCCAAGGACTTGGGCCATCTTCTACTGCTTTCCCAGGCCATAGCAGAGAGCTGCATAGGAAGTGGAGCAGCTGGGTCTCGAACCGGTGCCCATATAGGATGGCGGCACTGCAGGCGGCAGCTTTACCTGCTATGCCATAGCACTGGCCTTTCTTTGGGCTTCTGTAACTGTGAATACTTACTCCTGCAGTTGCATTTACCACCCTGTTGTGTAGTTGCCTTCTATGCACCTGTATCCCCTACCAGCAAGGGGTGCCTATTGCCCCACACACTTAAGCCCATTCATTCACTCAACAAACATGTACTGAGTACCACTCGCATGCAAGGTACTCTTCTTGGCACATGGGATTCACCAGGAAACAAAAGAGACCCAAACTGCTTATCCTCTTGGAGCTACATTCCAACACAGAAGACAGACAAGAAGTAATAAATACAATAAATAAGTGAACTATGCAAAGTGACAAGTCCCAGAGAAGAAACAGAGCAGGGTGTGTTTGGAATGGAAATGTTTGATGAGCTCACACTAACCTGAACTTAGTTGTGACGTTGTTACAGTGAACATACAAGAGAGGACACTAGAAAACATCTGTAGAAAATTCATATTCAAAAAAAAAAAGGTGCCCTGGATTTCAAATGAATTTGCCCTAAAATAAACCCATCTTTCAATTCCCTTCTTTCATGCACGTTTTGAAGTCCCCTCCTCTGTTAGGAACTCTTCCCTACTAACTTCGTTCAGTCCAGTTTCGGCACAGTATTTGCACTATGTTGGGTGGGTTTCTCTAGTCAAAGTATGGTAATACCTGCTAAGTATTAGTGGGTTTGCCAAGGACGAGGGGATATGATGCTTCAGACTAGGTAGGCTGTCAGCACTTCTCAGGCATTTTTATGCACAGCACACAAAGAACATGAGATGTGTCCATCCCACTCAGGCATACGAGCCTAAGATGAATGGAGGCTGAGGGCATTATTATCCCAGCAAATCGTATTCACCTGAGACTCAAGAGGCAGAATTCATGGCGGTGGCTATCACATTTCAGCCCCTGTCGAGCTGTGGGATGACTGATAGGCAGCTTTGTGAGCCACGGTGAGATCTTGGGGACAGAGCGCAGCTGTCTGTCTTGCTAATCCTTCTCCCGAGGGATTCCACTGCTATTGGCCCATGGGATCACACTTGGAGAACCAATGACACAAATCATTCAGGGAACTCCTGCCTCTTAGGGATTTGGATTTCCATAATCTAATTTCACAGGGACAATGTTGGGGTTCATTTTTAGGGAGCTAGGCCTAAAAAAAAAAAAAAAAACAGTACTTGCTTGCTCTATGACTTTTCTTCATGGCCACGCGCTAGGCAGTGTTGGTCTGGTAAATGTCTACAGCTGCTTCCTAGGGACAAGGGCTTGAGGGGTGGGGGAGGGGTGGGGAGCCCCTGAGTGTATTGCTTGAACACTTGTATGGTGTGGATGCTTCCCTCACCAGCGTTGGCCAGTGTCAAGCTACCATGACTAAGTGAATGTGGAGTCGGGAAGAGCAGTGTGCAGCGAGCTCCCCACAGCTGTAGAGGCACCACTGCCTCGAGCGTCTCCACCCTTGTTAGTTGCAGGTCCCCATCGTCGTCACCTAGGCTGCGGGTCCAAGTGCAGGGCCTCTTCTCTGAGGACATAAACCAACAGGACTGCTTTTCCTATTCTGTCACCTGCAGCACCTTGAAACCCTGAGGTTGAACCTCTACATTCTGGGCCCAGCCAGTGTCCGGGCAGCAGGACCTTTAGGAAGATACCTTTCTTCTCCCCAAATCCTCTAAGGCTTCCAATTTCCCGCTCAGTCTGCAAGAACTGACACGCTGTAGACATCAAGGTCAGCGTGCCTCAGGGCGCAGCAGAGTTAAAACCATCCCAAGCTGAAAGAAATTATTTTTGAGGTGACCCACCTTCTTAGACAACTGAGTAGAAAACGGTGGAGACATTTGCTTTTCCAGGAAATGAACCAATAGAGAACCAGACGCGAGTCCTTGGGAGGCAGAGCTTCCAAAGGCACTCTGCAGTTCAGGCCAGGGTCACGCAGGAGTAGTTTGTAGATGATGATAAGAGTCACGGTGGATCGGATCCGCGAGAACAGAAGTCGAGTTTGGCCCCATTTGTCTGCTCCAGATGCGTTCAACCCCGCTCTGCCTGCTCTTTGCTGTAACTCAACTCTGCTCTCTCTCTTTCCTGCCTTTCCTTTACCTTTCCAGATGCAGGACGCTATGGGCTATGAGCTACCCTGGGTGTATTTTGTCAGTCTGGTCATCTTTGGATCCTTTTTCGTTCTAAATCTGGTTCTCGGTGTGTTGAGCGGGTAAGCTGACCATTTCTATGTCCCCCTTACAATGCAGCCGAGCAAGGTCCCAGGTTCCACCGTGTCCATGGCCAGGATCCTCAGGGATGGGACCCTAACAGGCCCAGGAAAACCAGGACAAAAAGTCTCCATGCAAGCACGAGTTCTGACCCATTGACTGGGCAGGCTATTTGGCCTCTGATTTGCACCTAGAGGATCCGCGGGTCCCGGCGCTGCTCGGGTCAGCGTCTGGGGAGCCAGGGGCTGGCGCTTGGCCGTGCTCGGTTGCTGTGTGTGCCTCACTAACTATCATTCCATTCTTCCAGGTCAATGATGCCGTAGGAAGGGACTGGCCCTGGATCTATTTTGTTACACTAATCATCATAGGGTCATTTTTTGTACTTAACTTGGTTCTCGGTGTTCTTAGCGGGTAAGCAGGACCAAGGAAAAAGGTCTCGATTTTTCCATTTATTTTTATTTATTCTTTCTGCTATTCCTGGCTCTATTCTGTTTTTCTGGGATGATGAACCTGGGATAAGGGGTCACCTGGGGAGCCTTGAAGTGAATGTCCTTGGCCTGGCTGCGTAAAGGGTCAAATATACAAGAATAGTTGGGGCTGACAATGGAGAGGAGCTTTGGCGAGAGCTGCCTTGTCCCACCTGCCTCCTGCTGATGCTTGCCACCCACTCCTAGCCCCAAGTGGCTGTTCAAGTAGGCAAGCTGCTTCTCTTGTACTGTAGTGACCACGGCCCCAGGAGTCCTGTGGGGAGGCCCTTGAGTGGGGAGGGTTTGGCAGCAGGAGTTTCCGGTAATATCCACAGACTGTGTGCTTTCCATAGAGCACCCTTGCAGTTAAACACTTGCCTGAGCTCTTGAACCAGTAACAGTGTGTGGCAGGCTCATAGCAAAGATTTCAGATCACTTTTATTCAGAGGTGAATAGACCAGAGTAAGAAGAGTTTAGTTTAAAAAGATAAATAAGCAGATACAGACAGGAAAATCTGATTCTCTTCAGTTTAATTCCCAGGCTGAACGATCCATCTCAGGTGTTTCCTTTTCTCAACAGAAAGGGGACTTTCCTGTTTAAATCCTGAGAGTAGAGGAGATAGAATACACTCCCCTTTAATTTCTCTAGTTGGCTGCAAGTGTAAAATGTGTCTAATGCCAGACCTTGCTCCTATGACACTAGGAGTAGTAGAAGTAGCTTCCGGTTGCAGCATTGAGCTGCCCAGAGGACAGCCACCTTTTCACTGTGGAGACTCATGGGTATTGCCCGTATTTCTCACAAGGCCATACCAGCCACGCCAAGGCCTGACACTTAAATGCTCCTGGCGACCTGCTCACAGGTGACCCTCTGCTGCCTTTGCTATGCTGGGGGCGGGGGAGGGGTGGTCAACGATTTCTGCTCTGCTTGAGACAGGTCAGCTACTGTGAGTAGTCGTTCCTGGGTATCTAGGGACGTCTGTGCTGGGAGCAGTTTGGGCATAAGGAGAAAGATTTCTCTTGATTTTCACTCAATGCATAAACTGGGAAGGTTGACTCCTGCCTCCTACAGTGGCCTAACATCTTGCAGGGTGTTGGGTCCACTCTTGGGAATGGGGGCAGGGAGGTGGGAGAAGAAACTGCTCCTTCCTCACCCGCTCCCACAGTGAGTGGTCTGTAGAGACCTTGAGGACGTCACTTCTTTTGCGAAGGTGAGCCCCCCAGAGCCTAGAACCTTCCACCAGGGATAAGAAGCAATAAACAGGACTACATCAGCTCCTGATCACTGCCTGGAGGGTAGAGGGAGTTTCATTTTTGTGTCCCAACACAAGAAAATGCCCTGCATTTCTATATAAACCTGCAAGACAGGTTTGGAAAAAAGTCAACCTCATCGCCCCCACTGGAAACAGGAGTTTGTTTATCCCAGCTCTGCGTTTGCTGGATGCTTATGCTGGGCCCCTTCCCCCTCTTAAACTTTAGTTTCCTCATCTGAAAAAATGAAGATAATAATATCAGTTCTTGAGTGGTTGCAAGGAAACAATGAAGTCACTTATGTTAATTGTCCAGCACAGTGACTGGTAGGTATGTAGTAAGTGCTTAATAGTGATGCTGCCACTGCCATGATTGCTCTCCATTGGATGCCTTTCACAACAGGGATTATTGACTAGAATCATCAGATATCAGAGCTGCTGTGGCCTTCCTTTTAAAGAAGAACATAAGCCTGGAGATGTTTGGTGGCATGTGCACCATCACTATGTTAGTAAATAGCACAGCAGGACCAGAGCTGTGGTCCAGCCTGGCTCTCATCTTCCCGTCAGCACCCCTTAGCTGTACAGTGAATGAGTGTCCATGTAACACAAGCCAGCATTTGAGACGTTAAAAAACCTGGCATTGCACTTTCCTGCCATAGAATTTAGGAAGCAAATCTGGTCAAGTAACGTCCTCTTTCCCCAGAATCAGAAGTGGAGAATGAGGACTGGCCCCGGAGGGCTTCCTTAAGCAGAGATTCTCCTCACAGCCAGAGAAGTTATCTTCCTGGCTAAAGCCAAGAAGGCAGTGACTGTGGCTGCCAAGTGTTAGAGAAAAAGGCATTTTGAAAGCCGTGTCTTAGCCTGACTAAGTTCAAATGAGGTAGGGTATCTAAGAACCCTTTGCCCTAAACCTGGCACATATCAATACTCAGAAACCTTAGTTGACTCATTAGAGGAGCGTGAAGGCTGTTTGACCTCAGAACCCATGGGTCTTTCAGTCGAGACATTGGCCTTTCCTGGAGACCTTCCCAGCACCTGCTCCCTGACCCATCCAGAAGCTGCAGTCTGTATCCTGCAGTTCCAGGATCGCTGATGGAACATCTGCCAAGGTTTCCAGGGCTTCTGCCAAGCAAGAGACATCTGTGGGCAAGCAGCTCCCCTTCCTGGTGAAGAGGCCTCTCTCCTCCTTTGCTGAGGGCTGCTGCTGTAAATGGGACAAAAGCTGGACGCAGACTTGGCCAACCACGTAGTGGTAACAGTGTCAAGTCAGCCAGGACAATGTACAGCAGCCCGCCCATCCATGGTTTCACTTCCTGTAGTTTCACTGGTCAACCATGGTCCAAAAATATTGATGGAAAATTCCAGAAATAAACAATTCATAAGTTTTAAACTGCCCTTCTGAATACCATGATGAAATATCACACTGTCTCACTGAGTCCTGCCAGGGACATGAATCATACGTCTGTTCAGCAAATCCTTGCCCCCCCCCCCCACCCCGCTGCAGCCAAAAGAGAGACCATGCACACACAACTTTTACTACACTATTGATCATTGTTGTTAATATCCTACTGTGCCTAATTTATAAATTACACTTCGGCATAGATGTGAATGTATAGGAAAACACTTAGTGTATGTAGAGTCTGGTGCTGTCCACAGTTTCAGGCATCCACTGGGGGTCTTGGAACCTGGCTCCCACAGGTAAGGCCATCTACCATCATGGGCACCATAAGAATGAGGTAAACATCTGTTTACCCATGAGTCATACTTCTGATTAAGGCAACCTAACAGTAGCATTCAAAAAAGGCTTGGAGACCCATGAACTTCATTGTTGCCATGACAGCCTTGTCCATCACTACCATCCTGCACCAGGCTCGGGGATACTTTCTGGGAGATTGACTCATGCACTGCTCAGGATAATTCTGAGGGAGGTGCTAGTCAGCACTCCATCCCCCAGGGAAGAAAAGTGAGGGTTAGAAGGTGCTAGCAGGTGAACGGTGGAGTTCCACTGGAGCAGTGTGAATCCACAGCCTGTCTTCCTACCCTGCGTGGTATACCCTTCCTAGACTCATTGACCATGCAATCCCATATTCTTCATTATGTGGGGAACGGGGAGCAGGAGCTGTGGTAGGAAGGGTAAGGGGCAGACAGGCAGCAGAAGCGACACATAGACAGACCACTGGACGCAGTGAGTGAAACCCGGAAGAGGCCCAGGAGGAAGCTGCAAAGGCACCACCTAGCATGGCCTTGGGTGGGTGGGTGGGGAGGCAGCCTGCAGATCGCAGTGGCCCTTGGAAGAGAGCACAGCCACCGAGTCAATGGCTCTGCAGCCTTGGGAGAATTCTGGGACTAGGGGCAGGAGTGTGACACTTGACATCATGAGTTAATATTATTTTACAGCCCAGCACATCCTCATAAATCATGTCTCCAGTCACTTGGGAAATGATTAATTTTGCCTTGCGTGTGCATGAAGGTAAAGAAGATGACGCTCTTTAAAGCGTCTGTTCAAGAGTAGAAGTTAAGAGGGTTTGGCCACCAGAGGGCTAGGTGTCCTTAACCTGGAGCCCTCATGTATTCAGAACACCTCCTTTCTGATAAGGCCAGATGCAATTAGTGTTAAAAGTGTATATCTCTTGGAATTTTACAAAAATGCTTCCACATTCCTTGTCTATCGGGACTCACATCCACCCTGTGCAAGTTACAGGACTGGTATTAATAGAGATAACGATCAGACTATAATTAATTTCCCCTCCAGAAACTTCAATCTCCAGCCTTTAACAAATTAAAATGACAACAGTGACAATGAAATTCTTGCAAGTATACTTGAAGCTGTAATGATGTTGAAGCCTCTGGACTTTGGTTCGTTTTGGTTTTTAGAGGGCTACATTTATGTGGCTTCCACTGGCAAAAGGCCAGGAGGATCTATTCCATGGGGACTTGACCCATCCTTTTCTTACTGGGCGATGGGCACACCTAGGGCCTGAGAAAGCTTATCTAGCACACGTGTTCTCCCTGTGAACATGTCTTGGCTTTCACAACCCTCTGTTCCTTAGGAACACCAGACGGCACTTCAACATCATGTGTGATGGCCACTTTTAACAGGGGAATCACCCACAAACAAAGCACAAAATGTGCAGAAATGCAAGGCACTAAATAGACTGTAGAAAGCACCCCTGTTTATATCATGAGAGAGTTTATAGTCACACCGAGAAAGGTAGAGTGTAGCCTTGTGTGAGCTCAGCTGGGAGCAGGGGACTCTATGGCCACTCCATGCACATACACAAATGACTGTGAAAGTGTCATGAGGATTGATTCTGGGCTTCCAAATAAATTTCAGCAGGCAGGTAAATTCATAAGCATGGAAGCTACAGATAATGGCTATCAGCCAAATTGGTTACCTGTATGGTCTATATGGATTGGATTTTCTGCAGCCTCTCCCTTGGTGTGCTTTGTGTTACTGTGCACCAACTCCCAGCCCTCCACTCTATCCCTCATTTTTCCCTGTTGATGGGAGATGCACTTCTGCCTTTTGACAAATCCCACAGCTGTGACTGATTGTCTTGCCCGCTTTGGTCCCTGGGCCCAGCACAGCCCATCAGGCTGGGGCTTTATGTCTTCATTGCCCTGGTCCCTAGAGCTGCACATGGCTGGCATCCAGGCAAGGAGACAAAGAGAGCCAGACATTGCTGCCCAGCACATCCTTTACCGCGTGGAGTCTGGGGAGGGGAACCTTGGCTCCCTTTGCCTCCAGCCCCAAGCCCGCCTACAGCCCACCCTCCATGGGAGCCAGTGCCAATCTGGCGGTGCCCCTAATTCTTCCCCCAGACACATCCTGCTGCTATGACAGAAACATCTGAAGGTCAGTCCGAGTCATCAGCACCCCTCATTTTCCTTTTCTCCCCATGGATGTTTCCGTTGGTTCCTCATAGATGGCAGCTTTCATTCCATGGGGCAGGTGCTGCAAAACAAGACTGGGCCCAACATCTCGACTCCAGCTGGATCCCAGTTATCCCCCCAACTACAAAAGAAGAGTGAGTAGAAGGGTTTTTTTTTGACAGGCAGAGTGGACAGTGAGAGAGAGAGAGAAAGGTCTTCCTTTTTGCCGTTGGTTCACCCTCCAATGGCCGCCGCTGCCAGTGCACTGTGCTGATCCGAAGCCAGGAGCCAGGTGCTTCTCCTGGTCTCCCATGCGGGTTCAGGGCCCAAGCACCTGGGCCATCCTCCACTGCACTCCCTGGCCACAGCAGAGAGCTGGCCTGGAAGAGGGGCAACCGGGACAGACACCGGTGCCCCGACCGGGACTAGAACCCGGTGTACACGCCGGTGCCGCTAGGCGGAGGATTAGCCTGTTGAGCCGCGGCGCCGGCCTCAGTAGTTTTGTAACCAGAATTTGAGCCCTCTGCGAAATCACCCAAAAAGTCCAGGTGAGCCCTCAGCCATTCACCACTTAAGCCGCAGACACACTCCAGAGGTGAGGGACCCAGACTGCCAATGAGTGTAGGCAGAAAGAGTCTGGAGAGGGGCCTTGAAACATGAATTTTGGAGTTGGCTCATACAGGATGAGCAATGCTCTATGAAGTTGGCTGTCCTCAGAATGCATGACCAAGCCCCTGGGAGGCTTGGAGTAACAGGGCATAAAGGTTTGGGGGGAGGGGAGCTGGCATCTTCCCAGCAGGAAGGGAACAAAACAGGGCAAGGCTCCCATCTTCATTGTGAGCTGTCAATCCAGACTCCGCCCTGGCATGAAGCTCCCTGGGAAGGAAATGAAGGTACCCGTCAGTTGGCAGGAAGCCCAAGAAATAGCAAGTTCAATCCAATTAGAATTGGATTCAATCAAATTTAAGAAGAAAATTCAATCCAAACCAGAGCATCATTAAGGCAGCAGTTGACGAGAACTCATTAGCTTGAGAGCCCCATGTTCCCCCAATTACGGAGTTCCCCAGACCCCTCCCCAGCCCCAACCCCATTTCACCATGAAAACTGTGCTCTCCCAAGTGGCACAAGCGGATGTGAACACTAGACAGTTAGGTGCTGATGGGACATGCTGCGTGGTGGCAGACTTAGCCTTCTGTCTCCCTGTTTGTTGGATGTTTGGCTTCTGCAAGAAATTCCTTCAAGGTGGGTTCAGCCTCTTGTGCTGCTCCAGGCCTTTACTGGTGAGAGAAGGTGGAGTCATGGCTCCAGGAATAAACCTGGATGCCCAGTGCATGTACATACACACACACACACACACACACACCATTCCAAAGACAAAAGCACTGCTATACACCTACTTTAGAAGAAAAGGCAAAGCCTTGCTTTGGATCGAGAACAAGCCTTGTTGGTTGTTGACTTTTGCTGCCAGCCCTCTTCTTGCTCAGAAAGTGCAGTTGGAAATCAGAGAGAAAATGAGAGTCATAAAAAATGGAAAAGAAATCACTATTTTCTTAGAAATCATTCAGTGGGCTCTTCTAGCAAATCTGAAACCAGATCCAATTTCTATGCATTACTACTTTAAGCTGAATGCATCATTTAACTTTGATGTCATCTTAATTTTATGTATTTTCAGATTCTGATTGGGTTTTTTTTTAACCAAAAGGGCAGCTCCAGGACATTTTCTTGTGCTGGGAATCCTCATTCATCTGCATGTGGTAAAGAGCCTCCTCTAGTTCAGAGATCCCTCCAGGCATGCAAAGAGGGCAGGTTGAGCTTGAGTCGCTCTGGTTGTGAGAGCTTTCCTGGTTCCTGCATCAGTGAGGTCCTGCAAAATAGTTACCAGTCTCTGAGAGGAAGCAAGCTCCAGTTTGTAGCATTTGCCCATTTCCCTGCTGTAAGCGTTCCCACCATGGCCGATCTCAAGCTGCCAACAGGACATCACTGAGGCCAGAGGCGGCAAGTGACACGCACCCTAGGCTCTGTGGACCCTGTGTGAGGGAGCGGACTTTGGCACACCGCTTGTCCATAACTGTTGTGGGTTTTTTAGTTACTGTTTGGAAAAAAAATTTTCGAAGTCTTTGGGGGGACATTTTTTATTAGAAGGCAAAGCCTATGATTATGACCTAGAAAAAAGGGAAATAGTCTTCAGTCATGCCCTTGGACCTCATGCCTTTGTCAGCCATGTCCCCCTCAGTGACTCCTCCATCTATTTGAGAATAGAAACAAAACCTGGGCTGGCCAGAGAAAGCTGTCTGTGGAAAGTCAGGGCGTGTGGCACCTTTCTCCCTGCAAAGCAATTAATACTCTTCTTTCATCTTATCTCCACCTCTCCTCCTATGCCCGACCCCTCCTCTGCTCCCCCGCCTTGCCTGCTCCTCTCTGCCTCACCAGAGAGTTTTCCAAAGAGAGGGAGAAGGCCAAAGCTCGGGGAGATTTCCAGAAGTTGCGGGAGAAGCAGCAGCTGGAAGAGGACCTCAAAGGCTACCTGGACTGGATCACTCAGGCAGAAGACATCGACCCTGAGAATGAGGATGAAGGCATGGATGAGGAGAAACCCCGAAACAGTGAGCACCCATCCTGTGTCCTTGGGCCGGGTTTTGGAAAAGACAGGAGACAGCAGGAAACTCTTACCACCACCTTTCTTTGCAGCCTGTGGTTTCTCTTCCTGGAGTAACAGTTGTCTCGTTGCAATCATTCGCTACTCATGGGAATTAGTCACAGATGGGAAATAATTGCTATTGTCACTCCTTTTAGAATCTTTGACCTTAAAAGACACTTGAGATTGTGAAGTGAATTCTTTTTTTTTTTTTTTTTTTTTGAATCGGACATCCTCCTCTTCCTCCAGGTTCCAGGTTTGTTGGAAAGGAGACATTCTTATCAGGCAGCTATGTGGACAACTTTATACCTGTGCAGAATCGCCAGCACCCTTAGCAGCACACTGTTAGGCAGTGTTGAGGTTTCTCACAGGAAAGGGAGTGGAAAGTTTCTCTCTGGGAGGTTAGACGTAAGGGTCTGGGGAGACACAAAATGGGAGGATGGGGGGCCCAGAGGAGTTTGGCAGAGTATAATCAAGATGACAGAGAAGGAGCCTAACCTCTTCTTCTGATGTTTTATTAGGCTGGTGGCTGGATAGGCTATTGCTGGAATAGACAGGAGAGGGACAGATGCTATTGACTCACCAGCGTATTAATCATGTTGAATCATGGAAATTGAGGCTCATATCAGATTAGCCCAGTGATTTTCAAACTGGTCCCTGGACCAGCAATATCAGCATCACCTGGGGCCCCCCTCACTCAGGATCTCTGGAACGAGGCCCAGCAATGTGAATGTGTGTGTGTGTGCACGCGTGCATGTGTGTGTATGTTAAGATTTATTTATCTATTTTAAAGGCAGAGTTAGAGAAGAAAAGAGAGAGAAAGGGAGAAATAGATTTTCTGTATGCCGAATCACTCTCCAAATGCCCACAGCAGCCAGGTCTGGGCCATGCCAAAGTCAAGAGCCAGGATCTCCATCAGGGTCTCCCACATGGGTAGCAGGAACCCAAGTACTTGGGCCATAAAATACCGCCTTCCAGGCACATTAACAGAAAGCTGCATCAGAAATATGGAATACATGGGACTCCAATCACACACCCCAATATGGGACACAGGTGTACCAAGCAGTAGCCTAACCTGTTGTACCACAGTGCATACCCCAGGAGTCTGTTTTAATAATTCCTCCAAGTGACTCTGATGTGTGGCTAATTTGAGAACCACTGGGCCAGCTCTGATTATACTTTGTATCATTTGGACTTGATTTCTGTGACTTTAATCATACCCTTTGCTCTGTCTTCTATATGCAATACCTTCCCATTCATTTTAATATTTGGATGGGAGCATTTCTGTCCAGCCTAGTTTAGGAACAGGTTCTTAAACACTGAGCATCCAGAAAAGTCAAGGCACCAAACAGGTAAAGGGCTGATTAGGACATGCACTATATGTAGGCATGCAAGTAAAGATAGGAAGCCAGGAGCCTTTCCTAGGAGAGAGAGAGAGAGAGAGAGAGAGAGAGAGAGATAGAGAGAGAGAGAGAGGCTAATATACACACTAAGAGAAGGGGTAGCTGGAGGAAGATGGGGAGACAACCAAAGATGCTAACAGCATGCAGAATCTCTGCTCCCTCATTTCAGTGATTGATTTAATAAATCTATCAGTTACTCCCTTTCTGATAACTATGCTCTAGGTACAAATACAGAATTAAAGCACATGAATGGCAAAGGACTGGTAACAACATAATTTAATAACCCAAGGAGGCCTTCATGCTTTGCTAAGTAGTTTTGCAAGTTGGAAAATGGGGCCTTTGATGGATTAGAACAATGAGAAATGATGCCATTGAGGGTCTTTCTGGGAAAATGCCTGACAGCTTCTATTGTGCTGTGGATGGAACTGCAGATCAGTTGATTAGTTGGTGGCACTGAGTGGTATAGTAAATAGATAAATTGGCCTGTGAGCTGCACAGAGGCTTATCTCTACAACGTAGGGATCGGTATCTTAGCTCCTTGCTCTAGCTTAAGTCAGAATGGGGCCTCTGGCTCGTGATTAATGGCAATGAGCATTTTTTCTGCATGTGCTATTTCAAATGTGTGCTACCCACCACTTGCTTAGCAGCCAGTCACGATCCGGGGAGACACATCATTATTCTACTCTCTGCCTACAGTAAGAGCTTCCAAGGGGGAAGTGTGCTGTTTCTCCATCTTGCCATGCGCTGAGTAAATTCCAAGGAGACTTTCCAGCATGGTGCACCATCTTGGCTGCTGGGGCCATCACACTGACAGGGCTCCTCTACCCAGATTTCTGGCCAAGCTTTGAGAAGAGTATAGTGAACTGCCTACCACAATCAAAAGTCAGTTTCTGCCAAGACTGTCATAAGTCCAGTTAGGGACAAAATGTGACTCTGGAGTCTTCTGCTCCTCCCTGCTTGTGTGGCTTCCTCATGGCTGGAGGAGCCTTGTGGATCCATTTTTGTCCTTGGCCAGCCTTGTCCTAAGAGGCCTGGAATGGGAACCTGGTTCCTTCATTAGTGGAAATGCTGGTTGAACAGTTGCAGGGACATGGGGAAATGGGTTGACCATCTAAAAAAATCAGAGGGTAGAGAGTCAGATAGATACATGCAATGAAACAGAATGTGAGAAACCTAGGGGTGGAGCCAGGAAAAGAGTTGAAAGGGTTGTCTTTCACATACATCCCACTAAAAGTAGAGTTGATGTGACTTAGTAACTAAGGAGTTGTGCCCTGATAGACTTGTAGAAAAGTCAAGTCTGTGGCTTGGCAACTTATCTTTAGAGCTTCATAGTTGGCCCTTTGACACAAATCAGGGGGGAGTGCTGCTATGGGGAGATGTGTTTCCAGTGGTACAGGAGTCTGGTCTTTGAAATCTTTGAATGGTGGTGTATTTCTAAGTAATGGGATGATATATTTTCCAATTCCGGTCAGCTCAAAAACTAGCTAGTATTTTAAGAAGGAAAAAAAGCATAATCATTCCGCCTGTGGTTCTGGTGACTCTGCTTTTACCTGGAGTGTCCTCCCTCTCCTCACACACCCGGTGCCCCTGGTGTATGGCACTCACCAGACAGAGGTGGCTGCTGTGCAGGCAAGACTCAGTGTCACGTCTTACATGGTGGCTGAGCACAGCTAATGGGAGCCCAATTATTCAACTTTCCTAGGAAAAGCTACAAGAGCCACTGTGGAAGTAGAAGAGACAGGACTTGGGAAGATAGCCAACCAAAGCACATGATTGGGAGGCATTTCCTTAAATACAGTACATAAAATGGCCATCAAATTATGAACAACCATATATTCCAGTCCATCCATCTATCCATCCTGCCCCCCCCCCCCCCGCCCCGTCTCTCCCTCTATTCATTCACAAATAGAAGGCTGTTCCTGCCAGGCACAGTTCTAGACACCAGTGATATAGCCAAAAAAAATTGTAGTCAGAGATCCTTGCCCCTGTGGAATTTCTATCCTCCGGGGAGACAGAAAATAAATTTAAATAATGTGTTGAAGAGTGATAAGTACCCTGGAGAAAGGTGAAAGAGTGCTAGGGGCACAGAAGTGTTGAGAGGTTGTAATTTTAGATCTGGTAGCCCCCGGGGAAGAGCCCGCTGGGGAGGTGGCAATTGAATGAAAACTTGGAGACGATAAGGAGAGGAGCCATAGAGATATTTGGGAAAGGAGCAATGCGAGCAGAAGGGAGGCCAACACAAGCGTCTCAAGGTGGGAGCATGGCAGATGTGTCCAAGGAACAGAGAGGAAACTAATGCAGCTGTATGGTGGGGAACATGGTGGGGAGTGGTAGATGAGGTCCAAGGGAACCGGAATATAATCATGTAACTTTTGCTCTGAGAACTTGGCTGGGAGTGAATAAAGTAGCCTTTGGGGGTTTTATGCAGAGAAGGAACATGATCTGCATGCATTTAGTAGGATCCTGGCTGCCATGAATGGAGTGGAATGGCGTAGCAGGGATCTAGTTAGGGAGCTACTGCCTCAGGAGATGATAGTATCTTGTGGAGGTGATGGCAAAACTTCAGAATGACGTCATTTACTGACATATCAGATATGGGATGTGAGAGGGGGACAGAGAAGTGAAGGGAACTCAAGGGCGATTGTCCTGAAAAATGGTAGCAGTGGGATTGCCCTTTAATGGTACAAAGAGGACTGTGAGAAGAGTATCAGGAAAGTTGGGGTGGGTGTTGTGGTACAGCCAGTTAAACCACCACCAGGAAGGCCCATGGGCCATAACAGAGTACCTGGAATCAAGTCCTACCTCTGCTTCCGAACTCCTTCTGCAAATATTCCTGGGGAGTAAGGTAACGGATGATGACTCAAGTACTTGAGTTCATGCCACCCACATGGGAGACCGAGATAGAGTTCCTGTCTCCTGACCCACTTGGGAGACCCACATGGAGCTCCTGTCTCCTTACTTCAGCCTTGCCCAGCCCCAGCTGTGTCAGGCATTTGAGGAGTGAACCAGAAACGGAAGATCTCTGTCTCGTACTTTCTGTTGCTCTGGCTTTCAAATAAATAAAATGAATAAATTTACATTTTAAAAAGAATATCAGGGAAGTCATTACAGACATTTAAGTTTGAAATGCTTATTGGATACCCAAGTTGAGATTCTGAGTAGGCAATGGAAGAGATCTGCGACTGAATTAAAATTTGGGGAGTCAACAACATAGTGAAGATATTTAAACCCAATTGTCTGGGTGAAATCACTAGGAAATGAGTGTAGACAGAAATGAGATGAGTTCCAAGAACTGAGCCAGGGGCCCTACTGATGTTTGGGGATTGGGGTGATGAGGGACAAGCCTCCAGAGAGATCTAGAAAATTTCCAGAGAGCTTGGAGGAAAAGCAGAGGAATGGATGTCAGTGCTGCCAGTGGTTAGGTAAGGTGAAGCCAGTAGACTTAGTGGCATGGGGGTCACTGGAACTTTGATGAGGGCTGTTTGGTGGAATGATGGGGGGCAAAAGCTTGATGGCAAATCAGAGTCTGACTTTGTGAGTCTCTTGAGTCTATATTCTTCCTACA